CCCCCCCCCCCTAGCCCGAAAAAAACTTTTTAAATATATTTTTCAGTTTTAATTTTATTATTTATCGGTTTAAAGGCTTAAAATTTTACAAATTCCAAAATTATGAGTTCGGAGGTTTACGTGTTTGGAAGTTTACGGGTTTAGAAATTATAAAGTTTACGGGTTTGAAATTCCGCGGTTTTGAAAGTTTAGCGGTTCGAAAGTTAATGAAATTTGTGGGTCCGGAAGGTTGTTGGTTTGAAAGTTTATGGCTTCATGTTTATTATATCTAAATTATTTATGAATACTCTTGAGAAGTTATTTTCCTTAATTTGCGTAAAACACCGGAAAATGAATAAGATTACTACTTATTTTCCAAGAAAATATTTTCTTGAAAAATATTTTCCACGGAAAACATTTTCTATTATACCAAACACACCGTAGTTGTCTCCTATTATCAAATTGTAGATCTCCTTCCCAGCCCTATCTTTTGCCAGACTAAAGTTCCTATATAGTTTAACAGCATTTGAGTACATAGCACATGTTCAAATTGATTGTAGTTCAGACTTTCATAACGAACTAATTGAATATACTTTTCTTAATCCGTCAAATGTCCTTGAGATTGACGTGTGAAGAATATGCTCCCCTCTACCAAATATCCTTCTTGAGTAGTCTATTCGATGCAGAAATATGTGAAGAAGTTTAGAAGTGATTGATTATCATGTCTTTTTCCATTAATTTGATCGACACTAACATATCGTCTATGGTGTTTTATGATACGTCACTTGATGGCCACGATGGTGATGTCGAAGCGAAATTCATAAATAAGTTATCTTAATTTAAGCTATTGTAAAAGCTGCTTAAATAACAATTCATGCATTCCATTCAAGAGTTCAAGGCTGGTAAGTTGCAAATAAATAAAAAAGGCTAAATACATAGACAGACCATTAAACTTGGCCCAATCTTTCATTTTGGCACTTTAACTCAGTCTTGTTCCATTTTTGCCCTCCAACCCTATTTCTTTTGTTCTACTTTAACACAAAATCTTTTATTCCAGGTATAAATGCAGCGCGTGCAAATACCCAGCTGCTATCCCCCCCCCCGCAAAAAATAAAAAAAAATTACTTTAAGATTAAGACGTTTGAATCTGAATACACATCCGAATATCAAGATGTGCATTAAGATTAAAACGTCTGAATCTAAATATTAAAATGCATATTAAGATCTGAATACTAAACGATTAATACTGTTATCAATAAAATATATATTTTATAAAATATGGTAGTTAGTGGTGGTGATTACTAACGGTGGTGCTTGTGAATGCCGATTAGAGGCATTAGTTGGTGGTTCTGAGTAGTTGCTAGTGGTTATTGAAAGTGATGTCGATTATGGTTGAGAGTGGTGGTAGTAGGTGGTAATAATTAATAACGATAGGTGGTGGTTGTGATTGAGGAAGGTGGTGGTAGTTTATAATAGCTGGCAGTGTCAGCTATGGTTGTTGATGGGGATGGGGTAGTTAGTTGTGGTAATTGAGGTGGATGAATTTATGGTTGTGGTTGATAATGGTGGTGGTGGGGGTGGTCGGGATTTTGGGTAGTGGGGATTCTAGGTAGTGGTTGACGATAATGGTGGCGGCTATGATTGAGGAGGTGGTGGTGGTAGTAGTAGTTGAGTATGGTGGTGGTAGGTAGTGGTTGAGTATGATGGTGATGGTAATAGTTGATAATGGCAGGTGGTGGTAGCAATTAATAATGAATGTGAATGTTAGCATATTAATGAAATTAAGTCTTTGTTATAGATATTAATCATACAGACGTAATAGGACCCATTAAGTAGTTGTACGGTAAAAAGAAAACCTAATGATTAAGATCTGAATGATTAAAACTTAGACTTTAAAAACAAGCACATTTAATATCTAAGATCTGAATGATTAAGATTCATACCTTCGTTAAGTGCAAACAAATTAGGCCTTAGCTTCTTCCAATATCAGTACCTTTGAATTGGTTATAGTATGTTGTTTATGAATAGTACCTACTGTTAGATGCATAAAAGTTAAACCCGTAAATCTCTATTAAGAGTCATTATATTCTTTATTGAGCCCTTACTTTGGAAATTCAGGAAATTATATTCAATGACTTTTAAAAATGAATGGTCTTGATTTTTTGATTCCCTTATCATATGGGCAAACTTTTACGGTCAAAAGTCAAAAGTGTTGTCCACGAAGCAAGCGAAGGCCAACACTTGTTAAAGTTAAAGTCATGTCCCTAAATAAACGGGGGTCAAAAAATCAAAAGTGGCACCGAAATGTGCTATTTGTGCAAATCACCCTTGAAAATCCAACTCGAAGCAGCGGGCTTTGCATAGCCCGAAGCCCACGTTGTTTTCTCCTTTGTAATTTAGTACTATCCACATCTCCCGAACCCAAGTTCTTCGGCTTCTCTCTTCTCCTGCAAAACGGTTTCTATTACCTGATCAGAGCCTTTCCCATGGCAGAATCTAGAGGAAATGAAGCCGCAACATCTACTTCTGGTAATGATTTCCTTTTTCCTATTATCTTCCCTATTTCTAATCCTATTCTCTATTTATTGCAAACGAAAATGGGTCTCTTGAGAAAAATAAATCATTGCAAATTAAGATGCTGACAGATTTATAATTAGAAGAAAATATATTGCAATTTTTGGGTCTATTTCATTTACCCACGTCCTATTCCCCATATATTCATGAATTACTGGATAGAATTTCGTTTTAATGTCGAGATTTTGGAAACCATTTTTTGCTCTTGCAAAATTGTTCCATTTTGAGCACATATGTTAACAGTATTCGCTTAAAAATTGAATCTTTTTACTAATCTTGCAATGTTGATGCTTAATCTCATAATTTCCAATTGATATTATTTTCCCCTTTAGTTTCAGTTGTCTGCTGGGAAATGATTTATTTTTCATGCTATTCTAACTTGTTATTTACACTTAGTATTTTTTTTTAAAGAGAAAATGACACTGTATAGACGTTCTTAAAATAATTGCCGAAAAATGTATATTTTTTGTATATATATATACAGATGTCTGAGACACCTAGTGGCAATGTTGTGTCTTGCTACTCTTTCGTTTTTTCATAGTGGCGGGTCTATTTACTGGCTATCGCTTTTGCTTTGCATCTATTTTCTTGTTTTCATGATGTTGTTATTTTTCCTACGGTATCTGTCGGTGATATTGATATTTTCTCTTTTCGTCTTCTTGAGCCGAGGGTCTTTCAGAAACAGCCTCTCTGCTCCCTCAGGTTAGGGGTAAGATTTACATGCACACTACCCTCCCCAGACCCCACTAGTGGGATTTCACTTGGTCGTTGTTATTGTTGTTGTATGTTATATATAAAAATTATACAATTTTTATATATTTTTTCGGCTATGAAATATAATAGTTTTTTGCGCGGGCTAAAAGTAAAAAAAACCCTATTTTTAAAGGGCTAACAAGGAAGGGGATGGTGTGTTTTAAGTTTCTTATTGCCATTTTGATCTCTCTATTGGTAGATTTGAAAGATGTAAAAGCACCAAATTTGATAGAGCGAGCAAAGGAAGAGATAGAGGCTATGATTCACCACGATAAAAAACCTCAGCATCACAAAGAAACTCATGGAACTAGTGATGACATTGATGAAAGCACCCCAGTTGATGAAGTTAAGGGGCCAAATGTATTTGAACGAGTTAAGGAAGAGATTGAGGCTGTTGTGCAAAGTATTCACCCCAAGAAATGATCCAACTCTTTTTAAATTAATTGTTCTCAGTGTTATCATATTTACTAACAATATTGGTTTCCTTGTTTCCTTCTGATGTATAATGGCTAATTGACATGTATAATAGTACTAATTTCTTGGTCTTTTCATGGAATGTGTTGCTATTTGTGACTTTTAGAAGGGTCTTTGCTGATCTTATTTTCTATATAATGACAAATGTGTCTTGGATACTACTTGTTTTTATTGTTTCGTTTTATTTTTTCTTAGTCTGAGGGTCTATCGAAAACAATGTCTCTACCTTTTCAGGATAGGGGTAAAGTTTGCGTACACACAACACTCCCTAAACCGTACTTGTGGGATTCCACTGGGTTGGTGTTGGTATTGTTGTTGTTGACAAATGTGTCTTAAAGTTATCAATACCTTTGTACTTGTGCTGGTAGTGGGTAAGATGTGTCTGACACCTCCGTACTTGTGCTGGTAGTAGGTAGGATGTGCCTGACATAATAGTCGAAATGCCGGCAAGCTGGCCTAAAAACCACCATTATCCACACCAAAAAAAAAGTAGTCACAATATCTTCTCATGGTGAAGTATATGGGCCTACTATTAAGATCTATTTTAGTCCCCACTGCAGGAGTAGCAGTGATATGGTTGAGGATGAGATACTGCAATTTGTTCTATTGATAATGGTGAAGTCAGGGACAGGTTAGAGAGATCTAACACAAACAAATTTGCCAGCTGAAAATAATCTGGTAACTTTTATCTGTTAGTTCTACAACCCAAATATTCTAATTTGCCATTGAATTATAGTAAATGTTTTTGGAGCAACAATAAAGTTATCTGTGTTTGATCTATAGGTCACGGATTTTGAACCGTGGAAGCATTCACTAATGTTTACATTAAGGTAGGCTGTCTACATCATATTTCTTGGGATGCGATTCATCTTCGGACCATGCGCGAATATCATATTTCTTGGGTGCGATTCATCTTCGGACCATGCGCGAATACGGTATATCTTGTGCACCGAACTGTCTTTTTTTCTTGGAAGTTTACTAACAAGTGGAAATCATTTGGAGTGGGTTTATGAAGTACTGAAAAATTATGATGGTCATATGTAACCTATGGTGGTCCAGCCTAATTAGCTCTTGTTTATATTTTTCCTCTTTCTTCATGCATACTCCTGTCTTGAGCCCAAACGACAAGAGGGCAGAGAATTCTCAAAACGAGGATCCATAAAAATCAACAACAGAATATACTAAAAGAATACCATTGGGAATAGATTTGCTAAGTCGAAAATACAAATCATTATATCTTTTGTTTTATTTCTTATTGGCTTTCAGACATTAGGAGTCTTGGAGTAGCGATAAAATTGTATCAGTGTGACCTTAGGTCATAAGTTCGAGCCGTGAAAGTAGCTATTAATGCTTACATTAAGGTAGGTCGTCTATATTACTAATGCTTGCATTAAGATAGATCGTCTACATTACACCTCTTAGGAGTGCGACCATTCCCAAACCCTACGTGAACGTGGAATACCTTGTACACCGAGTTGCCCTTCTGATCTTTCTAATATTGTACCTTTATATAAGCTCCCACCAGTTTATCTCTTTCCTATAATTCGAATTAAATTTACCAAAAAAAATAAAAAATGTATCACAAACTTTTGGTTTGGCAAAGCTTATCCCTGACAAAGCTACATCATGTGGGAAGAGTCACTCTCTAGTCACTGCACCTAATCCTGTTTTGCTATAATTGGATATTTGATGAATTCAGTATTCAGATATCAGACAGTATATAAAACCTTGGCACATTCTTATCATTTAAATTCTGGACTCATTATGTCATGTTCGTGGTACCCACGTCGAATCAGATACGTAGCTTTCTGGTAAACAACCAAGAAAAAAAAATACTTTAGGCTAGCACATTAATCGGAGACAGAGGCGGATCCAGGATTTGAGACTTATGAGTTTCTATCGTAATTTCAGATTAATATGCAATAATAACTAGGTTCATAGTCAGATATTTATCGATATTTAGTGAATTTCTTAATATAAATACAGGGTCTATGCAAAAGTTACTGAGTTCCCGAGAACCCGTAATCTATGCACTAGGTCCGCCCCTGATCGGAAGCAAATATAGGATTAAAGTTTATGGATTCTTATATCGATATCAAATTAATATACCGTAATAGCTTAGTTTATAATTAAATATTTATAAATATTTAGTGGACTTCTAATACATCTAGATAAAAGCTAAGTTCCCAATTTCCCGTGTGTAATATTCTGGATCCGCCTCTAATACCAATGATGACAATAATTATTGATATTGTCAAAATATCTGTTACCTTTCAAGATTTTAAGTCAATGCATTCGATTCACTATATGTATTAGGAGTCGTTTGGTAGGATGCATTAGACAAAATAATGCTTGCATTAGCTTTGCGTATTAATAATACCTTGTTTGGTAGATATTTTGAACTTATGCATTAGTTATGCAAGCATTAGTTATACATCCTATTTGGTATTATCCTATGCATAATTAATACATAGAAAACCATGATATTACCAATTCAATGGGTTTTAATGCATGCATTAGCTTAGTTAAAGACAAAATTGTCCTTCAAAATTTATGCTTGATTAAAATATGCTAGTTATTATATTAATGCAAGTTTAAAATAATTCAAATAGTGAGAAATAAAATTACATCTCTAGCAAATAAATAAATACTTAGCATATTTTCTTTTTTATAAATAAATATTTAGTTATATTTTACAATATAGGTAGACAAATCAAATAATTTTTTTAAAACTTTTTCATATAAAAATATTTCTCAGCATATGTTTCTTTTAAAAAGTTACAGTGATGGACTGGTTTTGAGGGTATTTTTGTAAACAAGAAATTCTTTTAGAAATTGTGCAATGCTTTAATACATCAAACCAAACAATGGATAAGAAATATGTCAGCATAACTAATATCAGCATAACTAATTCAAATATAACTAATATCAGCATTATTAATACACCATATTCAGCATTATTCTTATGCACCCTACCAAACGACCCCTCACAGTAGATTATACTGCTTCCCTCATTGTGGCTTGTTTTCTAATAAGGAATTTACTTATGTACACTGACAACAATGAACAAGATGAATCATACCTTTAATATTTTTCAAATAGGAGAAAGTTATTACTATAAAAAAGAAAGTATATGTTCCTTCTTTTTATTTTTTATTTTAATTTTGGTTTGAATCATGAATTTAAAAACAGGCTACAATATCGGGAAGTCCCTTGGCGAAATTGAGCTCTATACAACTTAATTTCAATCTCTTATAGAATGATAAAATTAAACTTCACTTTTATTGGGATAAGCGAGCTCAAAGATACTCTTGACATAATGTAATATTGTGCTATGTACAAACACTAGCTTAACAATGTAATATTGTTCGTTTGGGTTAAACTTGCACGATTTCCCCAAAAGACCTCACATTATTAAGCTAGCGTTTGTACATAAACTTGGTTGAAACTTGAAAAGATGACTTTTTGAAGATGAGATGAAAAATGGTTTTGAAAGTTAAAATTGTGTTTGGACATGCATTTTACTTGAAAATAATTTGAAGTTTTGCGAGTAGAAGGCTTCAAAAACTATTCTAGAACTATTTTTGAGATTTGAAGATTCTGTTTTCAAAATCTACCAAAAAATGGTTTAAATCTATAAACAAACAAATATTTGAAAACAAACTTTGAAAAAAAAACTCCTAAATTTCATGGCCAAATGGGAGCTAAGAGATTCCTACATCTTACATCTAGGCTCCCAATTTTTGCAGCTACCATGTGAAACTTTGTTCGCACACTTAATACTTTAATTAATTTTTCGATTAGTTTAGGACAATAGGGCATATATTTAAAAGGTTGAGTCAGAATTTGAAGTTTATAGATTTTAAACGGATTAAACTTTAAGGGTATCTGGATTGGCTTATTTAAAGTGTTTATTAGTTTTTAAGCACTTTTTTAATTTTTGTGGTGTTTGACAATGCTAAAAAGAACTTAAAACACTTACTTTTAGATATGAAAAAAAAATACAAAAATAAGCCAAAAATCATAAGTTAAATATTGTCAACTTATGGCTTTTGACTTTTTGTTTGTAAGTTAGTAATTACTTTTTAAAAGTCAATCCAAACACCTTCTTATTATACTATTCGTTTTAGTAATTGGGTCTACTGCAGCTCCGCCCCTGCTAAATTTAACATACGCCTGCTCTGCACAGGCTAAAAGTGGCTACGAGAAAAAAGAGGGAGAAATTCAAAAATAGCCAGATTTATAAGTGATCATTCAAAAATAATTACAGTTTCAAAAGTAATCAAAATTTAGCCACTTTTCATGTAAAGATAAATCTGAATGAAAACACTGTTCAAAATCCGGAAAATACTCCAGCATAATATACTGGAGTTCCAATATAATATATCGGTCCAGTATAATATGCTAGAAGTTCATACATAAGTGCTCCATATGTTGGAAGTTTATATACAGGTGCACCGATCTCCAGTATATTATGTTGGACCGATTCCTATTGCGGCAAAATAATGGCTATTTTTCAATGACTTTGTAAATATTAACTATTTTTGAATGACCAGTCCGAAAACTGGTTAGTTCGTGCTATTTTAACGAAAAAAAGAAGAATGTAGTCTATAAAGTAAGAATCACGTCCGAAACATTGTCCAATATGTACTAGGAATATCAATACGTGGAAAAGTTAAAAAAGCGTAGGAAAGTCTCAATCAAATAAAAAGCCAAATTAACCTTTAATTTATGCGTTAAATCTTACCGAGTAAGTCATTAGGAAGTTTCTCTTTTCCTTTTGGAAAAAGATTTCTTTGCCATTTCATCTTTTCAAGAAGAGAGATATAATAATGAAGGTGGCATGGGAAAGAATGACTCTGCCAATATATTCATATTTTTCTGAAATTCTAGTATGGCGTATAAGGAATATCTATGACAACTAATTAAATTACATCGAGTTGGGATTAGTTTTTTTTGGTTTTTCATTTGGTGTTCGGTATTTGTATTGGAGCCCGACTATATCAGGATTAGCGCCGGGTAAGACCCCATTCGGGAGGTAGCGCTCCCCACCAAGGATTTTTCTATATCCAGGACGACTCAAACTCGAGACCTCTGGTTAAGGGAGATCCACTGCACCACATTCTTTGATGATGGGATTAGCTTCATTACTTGATGC